CTCTCACACACGCACACACACACTCTCTCTCACACACGCACACACACACGCAGCATCTGCCCACACACAGGCAGTGTTATAAAACCACAGCGCAGCATCACAAGAAGTCCTTCACTGTCTTTCTCTCGCTCTCATTCTGAGACTTTCTCTTTCTTTCAATTCAATTCAAGTTTATTTGTATAGCGCTTTTCACGATACAAATCATTGCAAAGCAGCTGTACAATATATGTTTCTACAGTATATTTAGTTCTTTCTTCTTGTGTGCAATCAGTTTGTATTGAGTGAATCTCTTGAAAACATGTCCCGGTCACATTTAATTTACATTTGTGCATTTAGCAGGCAATTTTATCCAAAGCATAACAAAAGCAATTCATCAAAGATATATATATATATATATATACACACACGTTGAACAGTGGGCTTTTCTCACACCGGACTGAGTTTTTTCTGTTTTTAGCTTGATTTGTAAATGGTATTTTAATCTGGCTTTCATATTATTATTTTTTTTCCTTCATTAGTATTTTAAATGGCTTGCATTAAGCAACTAAAACCCTTATAAAATATATTAAGAACAAAATCATGATGCATTTTCACGTTTAGTTAGATGCTGTTTCTCTGAGAGACTGAGACTGACTTGCAGATGCCATAAATAAATACATACTGTAAATATATTTGTTTATTTTATATTTTATGTATGAATTTCTTTATAATGTGAAATTAATGTAATGTGCCTTTGGCAGAAAGTAATTTTGGATTTTATTTGGGTCAATATAAATGACAATGGTTTTTTTGGTGTGTTCACATTGTAAACGGTATGTAAAACATGCCTTATTTATTTTATTTATTTATTACTATATTCAATGCTTTTTCAAAGATTATATTTTTTGTAACTATTTTCTTACATATGTGCTCTGATATTTGCTTGTACCGCGGCGAATGCACACGGTGAGGTAATTTGACACAATGGAGTGTGTTGCCATCAGAACGGTCTTAACTGGGTCAGTGTGTGTGTGTGTGTGTGTGTGTGTGTGTGTGT